ATCCCCCTACCCACTCACCCATCCACTTATCCATCCCCCCTACCCACTCACCCATCCACTTATCCATCCCCCTACCCACCCACCTATCCACTTATCCATCCCCCTACCCACTCACCCATCCACTTATCCATCCACCCACCCACCCATCCACTTATCCATCCCACTACCCACCCACCCATCCACTTATCCATCCCCCTACCCACCCACCCATCCACTTATCCACACACCCACCCACCCACCCATCCACTTATCCATCCCCCTACCCACCCACCCATCCACTTATCCATCCCCCTACCCACCCATCTATCCACTTATCCACCCACCCACCCACCCATCCACCATTCCTCCCTCCCTCTTTCTACATTTCCATCTCTCTGTTTTTCTATCCCTTTCTCATTCCCTCCAAGACCAGCCAACCCCAAGCCAAGCCGGCAGCTGATGAGACGGATGAATGAGCCCAGCCAAGGCTGGAAGGGTTTTCCAGCTGAGCCTAGCCCAAATTGCCAATTTGTGGATTTGTGAACTAAATAAATAGAAATAAATTGTGGTTGCTAAGTTTTGGGATCTTTTGTGACACGGCAAACCTCCCAGCATACACCCAAACCCTTCTCATGGCCACAGCACTCCGTAGCCATGGCTGCTAACCCCCTCTGTGGCTTCATCCTGAATCAAGCCCCCCAGCCCCCAGATGTCCCTTCCCATGGGATTCTCTCCAGCCCAGCACGCTCTCAGCTCAGCCTGCTCCTCACCCACAGCTTGTTGCTGGGCTGCACTTTTACGTGTGTTATGTCCTCCCTTGATTGATGTCTGAGTTTTCTGACCGTGCAGCAGGCAGCCTCACCGTGGACACTTCCTTCATTTCTCACCCAAGTTTCTCTTGTTCTTTACAAATCTGATTTTCTTCCCCCTCCCAGGATGGATTTGGAAATCGAAGCTGCTGGGGACTCTCGGCAGCCTCCTTCCTGGGCACGACGTCCCCCTGAGGTGGTGCCCCACTGCCTTCCTACACTGGCCCCCCTCGGCCACCTCTGTCCTGCAAAGTGGGGCCCTCAGGCTGCTCTCAGCTACGTGTGTATTTGGCTGTGGCCACCTGGCATGGCACCCCCAGAAGGACCATACTGGAAAGCAGGAGACTGACACCAGCCAGGGGAGAGGGAGGGATCCGACAGAAGAATGGCACCCCCTCACCCCGAGAGAAACTGCGGTCACAGGCTTGCAAAGTGACACCATTCTCCAAGTCTTCGTTGCTTCTGCTATTGAATCACAGCCAGCTCATGGTAGCCACCCCGGCTGCTGTGTACAGAAAAAAAATGCATTCTTTCCTATGTATTGAAAATAACAGAGACATGTACAGTGTATTGTATGTGTGTGTGCATGTGTATATGTGTTTGTGCACGTGTGTGCATGCCTGTGTGGGCATGTGTGTGCACATGTGTGCATGCCTATTTGGGTGTGTGTAATATGTGCACATGTGTGCATTCTGTTTATGTGCATGTATGTGTGTGTGCACGTGTGCATGCCTGTGTGTATGCATGTTTGTGCATGTGTGTGCATGCCTGTGTGGGCATGTGTGTGTTTATACCCCCGTATGTGTGCACGTCTGCATGCATAGAAACCCACACAGGCATGGATGTGCATGCGTGTTGTGTCTGTGTGTGTGCGGCCAACTGCCACTAGAGGGCAGTTTGGTCTTGATTTTGGGAGGCAGGGCAGGGAGGTCTCCTGGCTGGGTGGGGCAGGAAGCTAGACCCACAGGAAGGGACTCTCCATGGGGACCCCCAGAAGCAGCCAGTGGCCTCCAGTTGGCGGGGGTTCTAAAGCCCAGGCAGGGTCAGCCTGGCACCCCTGGGAGCACTGGGGAGGCGAGGTCAGGCTCCTGACCCCATCACTGTCTCCACCTGCCCCCGCACGAGAGGGTGGTGGGCAGGACCCAGGCATGTACCCACGAGGTGGCCATGGGTGCTCCTGCAGACAGGCCGCCTGGCAGACGTGGCTGGTCTGTATACAGTGGGCCTGGGCTGGCTTGGCCGGAGGTTTTGATGTCTTTATCTAAAAGGCTCACACTGGGCTGCATGTTTTCCCTCAGGTGCATTTCACTCCTGTGAGGCAGGTGAGGGGAGTCCCATGTTAACCACAGGGTAGGGCCCTGCTCTCAGGGGTGTCGGGTGCCTCCTCCCAGAGCCCCAACCAACCTTGCTGTGTGCATGGACCATGTGCAGCCTTCCACAGGCCTGTGTGGCCAAGGGGCATGGTGCCCTCCTGCTTTGTAGAAGATGAAGGCCTGGGACTCCTCAAGGTCAGGGGCTATGAGTGCTCCGGAGGCCAGCAACTGTCCCCTAGGCCTCATGGGACAAACAGATGACCCAGGATTCAGCTCTGGACCAGCGTTCCCTCTCCATGGCTGACGTGTGCAGCCTCTGCTTCCCGTATAACCCTCGATGGAGGTGTCCGGGTGGGCAGAGGGAGCCCTGGACGGGCTGGTTTGCCCTGTTGGATGCCTGCCTGCATCCTGGGTGGGGGCCACCACCCTTCCTGCTTCCGCCAGCTGCAAGGAACATGGCAGACGTCTCTGGAGCCAGCCACACCATCAGCAATGGAGCCGCAATGAATTCATTAAAAAGTGATTTGGCCATTTTCAAGTTCAAGAGGAGGGAAGAAAACCGCAGGGGACCATCCCTGGGGCTTTCGCTCACTTCCCTATAGCTCGGCATGTAAATTTTCCAGAACAGCCATCAATAATGCAGCTGCCGACCTGCCCTAGAAAGGCATCAAAGCTTCCCGAGTCGAGCATGCCCTGCCCATACCCAGCATGGGCCAGCCAGCCACGCAGCCAGTGATGCACTGTGGCCAGAGCCGCGCCTGGAGCTCAGCTCCTGAAGTTCTCCTGGGTGCTGCTCCCACCCCAGCCACCATCTAGGGACGGTCTCATCTGCCAGGCTCCAAGCACGCCTCCCCCACCCGCTCCGGGCTCTCTGCACCCAGAGGCGGTCAGTACGGGGGTGCAAAAGGAGGCCCAAGGCCTGCAGCCAAGGCCGGCAGATGCCCTGCGTCCCTTCCTGCTGAGTGAGCTGCGCCAGGGCCAGCGCAGCGGTGGCTGCTGCTCCGGGAGCTTCTCTAGCCCTTCTCAGGTCAGCGTGGTTCCTGCTGCTTCCTCCTGGACCACACCCTCCCCAAGGGCCTTCCCAGCTGTCACTGCTGGAACCTCCATCCCCTCGGAGGCTGAGAGACGGAGCAGACAGAGGGCCAGGCCCTGCTCTGCGTCCATCCTCAGGCTGCACAGCACCTGGGGTCTCTCCAGGGACGGGGGGCACGAAGATTAGATGCTGTGGGAGGAGTGAGTGCAGGTGCTTCGAGTACTCACAAGTGAAGAGTCACCGCACGGCCTGGCAGCTCCCCTCGTGGGTGTGTATCCAAAAGAGCACAAATCAGGGGTTCTGAAAACGCCCGCACGCCCTCTTTCAAAGCAGCACCATTCACAGCAGCCAAAAGCGCCGAGTGGCCAGGTGACCCTCGAGTGATGCTTGGATAAAGAGAACACTGTTCCGACATGCTGTGGAATATTACTCAGCCATAAAAAGGCAGGAAGTGCAGACACAAGCTGCCATGGTGATGCTCGGTGGAAGAAGCCAGACATGAAACCCCAGGTGTGGAATGAGCCCACTTACAGCGAATGTCCCGAACAGGCAGATCCACAGAAGCAGAAAGAAGACTCGGGGCTGCCAGGGGCTGGGGCAGCTGGGGGAAGGGAGTCAAGGAGGACGGGAGTGAGGGTTCTGGGTGCTGCGAGTGTCCCTGAGGTGAGTCGAGGTGATGGTCGCA